GGGGGGGTTCAAAGGCTGGTGGGATCAAGGATCGCTTGTCCGATCGGCAAGAAGTGGTCAAAACTTCACACCTCTCAGCTGCTATCCTGTCTGATAATGACATGCGTCAGTCTTGCGTATCCAATTACCACCAGTGCCTGCCTTTAATAGGACCACCGTTTGACCTATTAAAATCAGAAACGTTTACACATCTCCTTTGGTTCCACCCTTAGCCCCACCCACCAATGCCACCCCTCACTGCCATCATTGTAACAACGAATTGAGGAACTCTTTTCTCGGCTGGCCGTACGATCAGGGTGGCAGGCATTGGTTAATCTAATTTCACACCTCTGGCTAGGCTACCCAGGAAAGTTTCCGTAGTGGCTGGCTACTCGAGCACTCTCACGGGAAGTCGTGAGATTTCACACCCACACTACACTGACCATCTGTATCACTCAGGGTTCACATGATGGGGTAACATCTACCCCCAAATTGCACCCCTACTCCCCTTCATCGCCCAGCGGAATGGCCATGGCGTTAAGTTTGCATATTTTCAGAATTTTTCTTGCATAAAACGACGGGGACTGAGCCTAACAATGTGAAATTATGCGATTCTGTTACTTTTAATGAATAATAATAACGGAAAATAACCAGAAATTATGCAAAAAATGATCAAATTTTGCTAAATTATGCGGGGTGCATAATACCACGGGGACAGCATGTTTAAAAATACCGTGCACGGTACTATACAAAAAAGGAGAAAGTCAAACTTTGAACCCCCCCCCCCCCAACATTACCCTTTTTCCCTTGCCCATTTAGTTTCTGGTAAGACAAGACAGAACAGTTTGTAGGGCATTGATGGTGTGGTCTGTTGCATTTTGTTTCATAGGTAGTCCCTTGCATCACAATAAGGTCACGGTCCTATCGGAGACGGACGTTAAATTAGGAGATCCCGCCCCTTAAATAACCTAATAATGTTGATAGGGACGTTAAACCTATACCATTTCACCATTTTCAATAAGGTCAAATGAGAGAATTAAATGTATAAGAGCAACTATAAGAACCCACAGTGCCAACATTGTCTTGTGATCACGGGGTTCATCAGGTAGCCGCGGCCTACGGACACGGGGACTCCTGTGTGCCCATGCAACTGGAATGACCATTAGTTGAGATTTACATCCCTTGCAACCCAGTGAGGTTATTTGGGAGACGCCATCTCAAATTTCAACATCAGTCTGCCATAGGACATTTACTCCATGTGAGCCAGGTGAGCCAGGTATCAAAGCCCACTGAACCTATGAAAAAATCTGGTTTTATGAAATGGGATTTGAGCCAAGGAGGACCTTCTCCTCTGCAGGCGAGTGACTTAGCCATGAAATAAGACTAGATTATGGAGGCGTAAGGGCTTTAGAACATTTTCAAATGTGCGCATCCTTACGCCTCCATAATCTAGTCTTATTCCATGGCTTCAGAACATTTTCAAATGTGCGCATCCTTACGCCTCCATAATCTAGTCTTATTTCATGGCTTTAGAACATTTTCTAATGTGCGCATCCTTACGCCTCCATAATCTAGTCTTATTCCATGGCTTCAGAACATTTTCTAATGTGCGCATCCTTACGCCTCCATAATCTAGTCTTATTTCATGGCTTTAGAACATTTTCTAATGTGCGCATCCTTACGCCTCCATCGACACACTTTAGGGTGCAGCGGCCTTCGACCCCGCTTGTCAGGGTCCACCCGGACTGTGAGAGAGGCTGGAGCGCGGGCAGTGACACACACTCGTGGACTTGATGCGGATCACAACACACGACGATACATGAAGCGGTAGACTACAATGCAAGGAGTCTCTCCGTCCGCCCGATCTTGCTATCATCTGCTCTGCCATTTTGAGGAATCGAAACTTCATCGACGCTTCGAAGTATGGGGTCACTATTCTTACTTTCCGAATACCGTCTTTTAAAACAAAACAAAACGAAAACAGAAAAAACAAACAAAATAAAAAAGTGAATTGAGAGAACGGGACATATGTGAAATCAGGCTCTCGTCAAAATAATCAAAGTGAAGTATCAATTTTTTGTTTTTTTCGCTCAACACTTTTCATGCCCCTTAAATAACTCATTTTTGTGTGGATTTTTCTGAAAAGCGTTGATTAAAGGCACAAAAATGTAAATGTTCAATTACCACGGACTCTTAAACTAAACAAATAACAAATCTTTGGCGGCTATTTTTTCACTAATTTTACCTCTGAAAACAGGTGACCCCACCTCCTTTTTTCGCCAATATCTCAACTTGCATTCAAGATAAATGGATATTTTTTTCCATCCAAATAAAGACAAGTGAACAAGCTTTAAGATGATACAAATAACTCCACATGCCCAAAAATTGACGAGAGCCTGATTTCACCACGCTGCCTCACATATAAGCGCATTCATTTACGTCTTCGAAACGCACAGTCTGGTCTCTTACTGTCGACACAACCACGAGCAATTTTTATGATATGTTTACTAAACAGCACATAAAACGTTCACACTTATCGACCAAACAATCAAGACTAAATGAAGCGAACACTGCGTTACCATTAAGGAAATATCTACATTTTCAGAAAACACGTGCGTCTACGCTATCATGCCACCCCCCCCCCCCCCCCCTCACCCAACAACGAACCAATCTCTTTTTGTCTTTATGATAAACTAGCTGGGCCCCCTTTCGATGAAAGGAATGATCGGTGCATTAACATCAACTGAAAGTCATTGACCGGAAAGGAGCAATAAATCCTGAGAGATGCAAAAAAGTACATGTAGAAGGTTTAGATATAGTGATGTATAGATCTTTGACTTTGATTCTCTATTCCACTTTCGTGGTAGTGCACTCCAGAATTTCAAAGGTGTGGAAAAAGTGGGCACGGCTATTGAACAGAAACCTCACTTGTTTACAATGGCGTCTTACTAGTCTTAGAAGACGGATTTTCCCAAGATTAGACCTAAACAAAGATAGTACAAGACAAGATGGGCCACTTCTCTCTTTGAGCCAATTAAAAAAGTGTCCTCAAAATTTGGTGGCGCCCTCTTCACAAAAGCGCACTCTTTGCCAACAGAGTTACCCTTCTTGAGTTTTAAAAAATCAAAGTGAAACTAGCAAGTTTTGGGATAAATTTCGGAAGAACGCTTTTTAAAAATGGTTACGCTGACAAAAAAACCTCTTCCGGAGGAAAAGGAGATGGTTTTCTTCGTTTAATTTGA